GCCTTCAGAAGTTTCTGAGCGCTGCCTCTGGAAGAATCTGAAGCAGGAGCTACAGAAGCATCTGAAGCAGGAGCTACAGAAGAATCTGAAGCAGAAGCCAGAAGCATCTGAAGCAATGAGGAATTTTGTATGAAGAGTTTCAAGCACAGTTAATTCAGAAGACTCTGATAGTACTAACGCTGCCAGTATTGAGGATCTGATCCAAAACTCTGCTCTGAACATTTACACGCTGAAAGCACACTTACTGCAAAGACTCTGATTCAAAAAACTCGGATGAACATCAGAAGGCTCTGACCAATCTAGACTCTGATGATTCTTGCTGAAATTTGTTGAAGAAGAATTCAAAGTTATGTCCGTTGGAATAACCAAACGACTCTTTCCTTATTTATGCTAGACACAAGAACACAGACAAAAAGGATTTCTCTGTGCATTCTTCTTCTAGGAAAGGTCATATGATGTGAAGACAAAAAGGCTCAGACCTTTTTGGTACACTGTTCTCAACGCAAAAGACTTCACGGACCTCTGTGCCTATAAAAGCAAGACTCCATTCATCTTCTTCAGTTGACGAAATACTTGAAAGAATTCATTACAAGCTCTCATACAACTTATACATTCTTGCTAAACTTATTTCATTGTTCTTCATCTTAAGTGAAAAATCACACTTGTGATAAAGCTTTATTAGAAGCATTTTTAACACTTGTATTATTTTTACATTTGATTGTAAGAGAACCTTAAGAAGATCCAGTTAGGATCAATAGTTCTTGAGAAGACTTTGAACAGTTGTTCTTAGTGCTTACTATTGTAATCAGTTGATTAAATAGTGGATTAAGCCCTTGTTTGAGAAAGGCAAATCACTCTTGATAGGGTGGACTGGAGCAGTTGAGTTCAACGAACCAGGATAAAAATCCTTGAGTTTTTATTTCTTAATTTTATATTTATACTTATTCAACCCCCCCCCCCCCCTTCTAAGTATTTTCTCACCTTCAAGATTAAGCAAAACCAGAGCTAGATCTAGAATTTACCAACCTACAAAGCCTAGATTTGCTTTGGTAAGTGTTCTTAAGCTGCAATTAACATATCCAAGCAAGAAACCCAAGGATCTATGTTGCTCTAGCAAGAAAACTTGAAGGTCCAAGAAAATAATCCACAAATAAGCAAAAGCTTTTCAAGAAGTGATTTCACCAACTTAATTCAATATCCAAATGAATTACAAAACCAGAATTGAACTAAGGATGATGATGCAATGAAGGTTTAGCACAAGAATTCAGAAATTTGCCCAAACACTTCATTTGATATTGCACTTGTATAATGCCTGAAATAAACTATGAATTGTCCCTTTTGCACTCAAAATAACCGACATGAAAAATACGGTCCGGTACCGAATCATTGAGCAAAATAAATGTCGGAGCTTCTGATGCTTGCTGCTTAAAAACTTGGAATAAAAGGAAGTCTTGAGCCACAAAACAACTTGATCTCATGTTTCAAGAACCAATGTCATGATATGATTAATGATGCAAATGAATGAAGCATAAGCCAGTTAATGTTAGAAACGAGAGGCTAAATTTTGGGGTGTTACAGTGTTCCATTAACATACTTCAAAATTCTCTTCACTTAAGCAAGGTGACTAACCTTAGGGTTTGCTTGATATTTATCGCACATACCAACAGAGAAAATGACGTCAGGTCTGCTTGCTGTGAAGTAGATCAGACTTCCGATCATGCTTCTGTATAGGTTTTGATCTGCATTAACTTTATTTTCATCTTTGGTCACTTTAACATGAGTAGCAGCAGGAATTCTTTTGTGACTTGCATTGTCAAGGTCAAACTTCTTCACTATACTCTTAGAATACTTGCATTGAGAAAAAAGATATTTTCTTCCATTTGTTTAACTAAAAGACCCTGTAAGTCTTGTTATTGATAAAGTATCCAAGGAATATCCCTTCTTCACTTTTTATATCCATTGTTATCTTGTGTTCACGATCTGCTAAGATATAACACTTACTGTCGAATACATGGAAATGTTTAAAATTTGTTTTTCGTCCTTTTCAAAGTTCATACAATGTAGCTTTGGTTTCGAGTTTAATGGTGACCCTATTGGGAATTTAGCAAGAAATGTTCATGGCTTCAGCCCAAAAATTATAAGGAAACTTCTTAGCATGCAACATGACTCTAGTTTGCGCTCAACCACTCCATTTCTCTTAGGTGTGATAGGAGCTGAAAATTCATGACTAATCTCTTATGCAAAGCAAAAATCAGAGAACTTTGAGTTCTCAAACTCCTTTCCATGGTCACTTCTTATCTTGACAATTTCACTTCTTTTCTCCTTCTAGATACACGAGCAAAGATCTTTGAACATATCAAAAGTATCAGATTTTTCTCTAATGAAGTTAACCTATGTATATCTTGAAAAATCATCCACACAGACAAATATATATCTCTTTCCACTAAGGCTTTCCACTTGCATTGGTCACATGAGATCCATCTGAAGTAATTCAAGAATCTTTGAGGTGGCCAGATATTAGAGCTTCTTGTGCGACATCTTGGTTTGCTTGCCTATCTGGAAGTCTGCATAAATTTGGACTTCTTCAATCTTCAAGTTTGACGAACCTCTAATGGCTTTAGTAGATACTGTCTTTTTCATCTCAGTGAGATTGAGATAACCAAGTCTTTGGTTTCATAGCTTTATCTTATCAACTTTGGATAACATGAAACATGAGGGATGATAAATCCAAATATAACATTTGTCTTTGGACATTAAACCCTTCATGAGAACTTCTTGATCTTTGTTGGTGACAACACATTTAGATTTGCTGAAGTTTACACTCAACCCTTAATCACACATCTGACTGATGTTGATCAAGTTAGCAGTTAAGCCTTCTACCAACAACACATTAGTAAGACAAGGAAGACCAAGGCTAACCATCATGCATATTCCTTTTATTCTTACTTTAGCTCTATCACCAAAAGTGACATAACATTGGGAGTAAGGTTTCAACTCCTCAAGATATGTCTTTTCTCTAGCCATGTGCTTGGAAAATCCACAATCAAAATACCAATCTTCTCTTGAGGAAACTTTGAGAGACGTATGAGCTATTAGACATGTAACTTTCTTTGAGTTTCCACTCCTCCTTAGCTTGAGATTTCTTACCTTTCTTTCTCTTAGGCCTAGGTTGACTATAAAAATGAGGATAATCATACAATTTATTGCAAAAAGGTCTTATGTGACCATATCTATCACAATGATGACACCTCTTGATAGGTTTCTTGTAGCCTCTGTGTTCAGGGTACACATCTTGAGCATAATGCTGAGACATGTGATTCATCTTCTTCTTAGGTATGACAACCTTCTTAAAGGGGATTTTCTTATTCATGTTGGACTCTCTCTCAACTTAGGGGTTTAGTCAAAATGAAATTATGAGTCTAAAACACTTCACCTTTACAAATCCTCGTGTTTGAGGAACCGTGGAGTAATATACTTGCAATGGCTCTTGGCCTCATAAGGCGGTCATCTTAGAAAGTGGCGTCCAAATATAACCCCCACTTCGCTGGCTACTCGCCCTGATGAGCAACGTAGGGGGTTACAAGTGCACAACCTATCACCCGATGCGAATGAAGTTTTGGTCATGATTCCCTAAGAAATAGGAGTGGTTACTATGTAACAAATGTCCCCAAATCCAGGATCAAAGCTTTTATAATTACTTCAACTCTAGGATTGAGATGAATAACTCACATATACACACAAAATATTCCAAAATTTTAGAGTTTCTCACCTCACGCGAGCTTGCTTTCTCCTCACTATAATCACCTCAAAGCAGAGTTTCTCACCATCGTGAGCTAGCCCTAAAACCTATGAAATTCCTTAAAGCCTTTGATAATTCTTACTACGCATTCGTATAACAAAATTTCTCAGTAACATGACACCTCTGATAAATCTTCACTACACACCTGTATAACAAAATCGACTGTTAGTTAGAAAGTTATTATCATATAGATCATCTCTATAAAATTTAACATTAATAAAAAAATAATCATTTGATATACCACCGAGATGCATATATATCAACGTCAAACAAAACTTTAACAAAACTGTTAATTTTGATTTTTCTCTTTTAACACATTAAATAATTTTTTAATGATATTAAATTTTATAAATATGATCTATATAATAATACTTTTCAATCTAACTGTTGATTTATTTATAAAAATATGCTTTAAAGTGTCACGTTACTAAATTTGACATCTTAGTGTTATTTGATCCTGACTTATATATATATATATATATATATATATATATATATATATATATATATATATATATATATATATATATATATATATATATATATATATATATATATATATATATATATATATAAAGTTGTCTCTCAAAGAAAGAGGGTATAGATTTTAACAAATCAGTAAGATATTTGTTCTCTGATTTTAAGATCTATCATCCGAAAGCATATCAACTAATTATACAAAAGACAAATATCACCTAATTCTAATATATATATATATATATATATATATATATATATATATATATATATATATATATATATATATATATATATATATATATATATATATATATATATATATATATATATATATATATATATATATATATATATATATATATATATATATATATATATATATATATATATATATATATATATATATATATATATATATATATATATATATATATATATATATATATATATATATATATATATATATATATATATATATATATATAAAGTTGTCTCTCAAAAAAAGAGGATATATATTTTAACATATTTGTTTTCTGATTTTAAGAACAACCATCCGAAAGCATATCACCTAATTATACAACAGACAAATATCACCTAATTATACAAATAATTATACAAAAGACAAATTATACAAATAATTATACAAAAGACAAATATCTAATAATGTCTTGATATAAATACATATGTATATCACAAAAAGGAAAGGCATGAACAATAAGCCATGGAGTACCAACCGTTTCTCATCTTTATTACTTTTATGTGTGCAACCATTCTTATCTTCATTCTTAGAAAATTAAACCAAACTGAAAGTTCTACAAAACTTCCACCAGGGCCACAGCCACTTCCCATCATTGGTAACATCTTAAAACTTGGCAAAAACCCACACAAATCTCTCACAAAACTCTCTAAAATATATGGACCAATCATGACACTGAAATTAGGAACAATAACAACAATAGTAATCTCATCCCCACAAGTAGCCAAACAAGTCTTACAAGAAAATTCACAAATCTTCTCAAATAGAACTATTCCACATGCTGGCTATACTCATGATCATGACAAATTCTCACTTGTGTGGCTTCCAACATTAGATTTGTGGAGGAAACTAAGGAAAATTTGTGCCACCAAAATATTTTCTACAAAAATGCTTGATTCAACAGAAGTTTTACGCCAACAAAAGTTGCAACAGTTATTGAATTATGTGAATGAAAAAAGCAAGAAAGGCGAGGCTTTTGATATTGGTGAGGCTGTTTTTACAACTGTTCTTAATTCTATTTCTAACACTTTGTTCTCTATGGATTTGGCTCATGCTATACAAGGAGAAGAGTCTCAAGGATTTAAGAAAATCATTTGGGGTATCATGGAAGAAGCTGGAAAACCTAATTTTTCAGATTTCTTTCCTATTCTTCGTCCCTTAGATCTACAAGGTGTGTATGCAAACGTCACCAATTATGTGAAGAAGTTGTATAAGATTTTTGATGAAATTATTGAAGAAAGAATTAGTTCAAGATCTACCAAAGGTGATTCTGAGGATGTTTACAATGATGTGTTGGATTCACTTCTTAAAAGCAACAACATTGGAGAAACCGCGTTGGAATTAAGTCGCGATGAGATGATGCATTTGTTTATGGTTAGTGTTGCTTTTCAATTAATTCACTTTCGTCAATTATTATGTTTAAATTTTATATGTTGTTTATTTATAAAAAAAATTACAACCTTATCACATTAAATCTAGATCTCTTAAAATGGATTTGATTCACCGGACCAACCACGAGTCCTATATTTTAATGCAGATTGAACTGCAAAATATCTTTATGGGGTAGAATAAACCGGCCAAGCGAGTTTTGGGTTAGCCTATTAAAAAAAAGTTTAACTGTTTTTAATTAATTTTCAGATACATTAAAAAATTAAAAAATACTTGAAAAATAATTATCGAAACTATTTTGCAAAATTTTCCGGTATATAAAATAAAATTTTAAAAAAATTAAAATAATAAAATAATAAATTAGTTAATAATAAACGAGGTTAAAAATAATATTTTTTTATAAAAGGTAAAAAATATGAAAAAATCATTAAAAGTTATTACAAAGTCACTGTAATTTAATTTATTTTTCTATATTTTATTTTATTTTTTAATAAGTATAATAATTTATATTAATAATAGAATAAAATTAATTATAAATTATTAAATAAAAATAACATAAAAAAATATTCTAAATGTCACAGTGACCCATCATCAAGTTGGTTGTCATGTTATTAAAATTTGATCTCAAATTGAAAGAAGGATTAAAATTTCTAATGAAATGAAATGGAGGATCAAAATTTCAAATTTCAAAATAAGAAAGAAAATTAAAAAAAGATAAAAATAAAGAGATCAAAGTTATAATTTATAAGTCATATTTAATATAATAAAAATAATAATTTAGATGTAGTAATATACATAATAATAATTATATAAGATAATTAAAATTATATTATTAAAATAATATTTATATTAGTGCAATTGTTTTTTTAAAATATAATTTATAACTAAATCAAATATTTTAATCATCTTAGTCATTTTTATAGTCCACATTAATTAGGATATTTTGCTGTCTAGTGGACCAAGAGATATCTGAATTACGAGACTCATCCACTTACTTAGGTTCTACATTATCCATAAGTACAAAGTCTTATTAATCATTATCACTATTTCATTATTAACAAAATATATGATATTAGTTAATAAGTGTCCAATATATAATATTTTATTTGTTAAGGAAATAGAAAATGTGATTAATAAGATACAAATAATATACATTTTGTTGATTAATAATGAAAGTGACTATTGATACAATCATAAAGTTGTATCACAAAAATATTCCTCAATATTATTTTTTTATATCTAAACAAATTTAGTTGAATGTTGAAATATTATTTTGTTAGGATTTATTTGTTGCTGGGATTGACACAACATCAAGCACAATCGAATGGATTATGACAGAGTTATTACGCAATCCTGAAAAATTAACAAAAGCAAAAAAAGAGCTATGTCAAGAAATTGGAAAAGATGAAGTAATTGAAGAATCACATATTATCAAGTTACCTTTCTTACAAGCAGTTGTGAAGGAAACTCTTCGGTTGCACCCACCTGCTCCATTTTTGCTACCCCATAAATGTGATGAAAGTGTCAACATATTAGGCTTCAATGTGCCAAAAAATGCACAAATATTAGTCAATGTTTGGGCCATGGGAAGAGATTCAACCATTTGGAAAAATCCAAATATGTTCATACCTGAAATATTTTTGGAGTGTGACATTAATTACAAGGGTAATAGTTTTGAGCTTATACCATTTGGGGCAAGCAAAAGAATTTGTCCAGGATTGCCTTTGGCTCAAAGGTCTGTGCACTTAATGGTGGCATCCCTTCTACATAACTTTGAGTGGAAACTTATTGATGGGCTAAAGCCAGAAGATATGAATATGGAGGAAAATTTTGGGTTAACCTTAAAAATGGTTCAATCTCTACGAGTTCAAGCTACTTCACGAGCTTAATTAGGTGGATACATTTACAATAAAAAGTAGACATAATTAATATTTGTCGTTTATGTCACTATTACAGTCGCAATCCCATATGCAGTTGCAGTTGCAACATAAAATACATACATATATGATTGGTGCGACCACCAATTATGGTGGTGGCGATGTTGTTCAAGCCTAAAACATTGTTACTAGTGTGTTATTGCAATTTCTAAAAACTTTAATATCAACTTATGCGCCAATATGATTTTTGAGCGTGAATTTGAAAAAGTTAAGACTAAAGTAAATATACATTAAACCCATAGTGATGCATGCATAAAACAGGGTTCATCCTTCAATATGAGAAGGTGCAAGAAACACATGAGTTTTTTTTTTAAGAAATCATTTTTAAGATCAATAACCCATTTTATCCAATAATTTTGTTTTTGGTAGATATTAACTTGAAAAAAATGAACTCAAGATTTCTTAATGACTCACACAACAAAATGTGAGACTAGAGACAAATCATATTCCACTATAAACGTCAATCCAAGAGACTTCACAATCTCGAAGATCGACTCAATATTCACATGCATAACAAACTCTCACCTAAACCACCTAAAAACATTATACCAAATACAAGTCGCCAACTCGTAAGAGACAAAAAATCAATATCAACATCATCTGGGTCAACAACCAATTTACGACTAAAAATATTATCCCTAGTAAAATTTATCTCTCTAAGTAAATGTTAAGAGAAAACCAAAACTTAGCAAGAGGTCCAAATCTTCCAACTCTTCTAAACAAAGAAGAGGGCTCGAGCAATAGCAGAAGATAAATAAAGGAAAGACAAATAAGAATGGTGCAATAATATATATATATATATATATATATATATATATATATATATATATATATATATATATATATATATATATATATATATATATATATATATATATATATATATATATATATATATATATATATATATATATATATATATATATATATATATATATATATATATATATATATATATATATATATATATATATATATATATATATATATATATATATATATATATATATATATAAAAGCAAAATAATCTTTTTCAAATCCCTTAACTTTAACTCAGGATTCAGTTTGGTCCCTTAACTTTAAAAAGTGTCAAGTTGGTCCTTTAACTTTTAAAATGGTGTCACGTTTATCCTTCCGTTTGTTGCCGTTAGTCAAACTTTGAAAAAAATGCTACGTTTGTCCAGGTGGAGCTGCTGACGTGGATATGAAATGTTTTAAAGGAAGATAAAACAATCTAACGTTTCCGTTACCCAAAAGATTACATGATACAACGCTTGGAGACTCAATGAATCATTAAATCATTGAATCATTGAAGACGATTCAAGGTTTGCAGACGTGAAGATTCAAAACGCAAAGGATTGAGGGCAGAGGATTGAAGACGATTCAAGGAGACATAATCAAAAGGTTAGTTCATTTATCTCTAATTTAGGGTTTACGAATCTCATAGGGCAATATCTGCTAGAGGTTCAAATTTAGGGTTTATGTAAATTTGTTAGTGTAAACTCTAATTATTTAGATGATATGATTAGGTATCATGGATGAATACATAACTCTCAAAATTTATCATAGTGGTGAGTTTACAGATGAAGGTCGTAGTGTATATGAGAATGAGGTAGTAGATGATTTGAGAGTAGATGTAGACAAATGAAGTTATTTTGAGCTAGTTGGTGTATTGAAAGACTTAGGTTATAGGGAGTTTGAAACAATATTTTACAAGGACCCTCAATTTGGGATGAATCCACTTGTTGATGACAATGGTACTTTAGAAATTGCAGATCTGTATAGGGTGCACCAAAATGTTGATATTTATATTAAACACACCTTGTCTCAATCTGACTACTGCGATGTTGTTGTTGATGAAGTTGATGAGAACCCTGCTGAAATTGTAGATGAGGTAGAGGAGTTACTTAGTCAACTACATGATGAAGTTATGGAAGTTGAACAAACCACTGTTGGGTTGGAGGAAGGTGATGTTAGAGTTGATGAAGCCACTGCTGGGTTGGAGGAAGGTAATGTTGGAGTTGATTAAGGGAATCCTACAGTGGATGAACATACTATTGGAGTTGAACAAGGGAATCCTGCAGGGGAAGAAGGTAATGTTGGAGTTGAAAAAGGTAAAGCTGCAATGTATGATGACTTAAGTTTATCATCTGATGATAGTGAAGATGAGGAATGCAACTATGATAGCGCACAAGATGTGGCTTTTGAGGATGAGTCTGATGGATGTGATGAGATTGAAGAAGATGAACTTGATACCCTAGTTGGTCATGAAAATGATGGTAATGGAGAAGTCCAAGAAAATGATGGTAAAGGGAGTGACAATGACAGTGATGACATGCAAAGTGGTTGTGACAGTGATGATAGTAGTGGAGTTCTAAGAAAAATACATCTAATTTTCAGACAGCCAAAAGACATGTCAGATTACAAGTGGGATGTGGGAAATTACTTTAGTTTAAAGGGTGATTTTAGGGAAGCAATAACAATTTATGCTGTGCAAAATGACAGGAGTTAGGGTAAGGGTTAGATGTAAAGTTGGTTGTGAGTGGGAGGCTTATTGTAGCAAGTTTTCAAATGAAGACACTTGGTAACTTAGGAAAGTAATTGACAAACACAGTTGTAGTGGAGAGTATAATATGAAGTTGATGAGTACAAAGTGGTTGCGTAAAAGACTTCAGAATAGCTTGAAAAACAATCCAAGGTTGAGTATAAAGGATATCAAGAAGAAGGCACAAAAATAGTGGAATGTTGGGGTCAACAAAACCAAATCTATAAGAGCAAGATTTGCAGCTAGAAACTATGTTGATGGTTCCTTTTTGGGAGATTACACATGGGCCTATGACGACTGTCATGAACTGTTAAGAGTCAATCCAAGGTCAACAGTTAAGCTCAATGTTGAGCATGTACAAGAAGGTGTTGAGGATGAAAGACCATATTTTAGAAGGCTTTACATATGTTATGTTGTGTGTAAGGAAAGCTTTAAGTTGTGCATGCATGTAATAGGTCTAGATGGGTGCTTTCTTAAGGGGTTGTATGGAGGGAAGATTCTAGCTGCCATTGGAAGGGATCCTAATGATCAGATGCTTCCCATAGCATATGCAGTTGTGGAGAGTGAAAACAAGGATAGTTGGACTTGATTTTTAGAGCTGTTAATTAATGACCTTGAAGGCAAAGATGAATGCCTGACTTACACCTTCATCTCAGACCAACAAAAGGCAAGTTTTTCATTTATTCTTATGGTTTTATGTGTTTATGTTATGCTATATTGTAATGCTACATTGTATGTTATTGCAGGGTCTACTACCTACTATGGATGAGCAATTTCTAAGGGTGGAGCACAGGTTTTGTGTTAGGCAGTTTATAAGCATGTGATCTACCATGTCAATGGAACAAACTTGTGGGTTAAGACACCATATCTAGATGTGCAACCACCCAAGTTTAGGAAGATGCCTGGTAGACCTAAAAAGAGGAGGAACCTAGAACAAGGTGAAATTGATGGGTCTACTCACAAATTGAGAAGAACATGTTTTCTGCTGAAGTGTAGTAGGTGTGAGAAAGCAGGACATTACAAGTCTACATGTAAGGGCACAACAACTCAGACTACTTAACAATCAGCCCAACCCTTTCATACTCCAACTCAGACTGCTCAACAACCAAGCCAACAGACTCCTACTTCAACAACTCAGACTACTCAACAACCAAGTCAACCCTCTCATAACAAAGCAACACACACTGCTAAGAGAACTTCTACTCAACAATCTAGCCAAGCATCTCAGACTTCTAAGGGAAAGACTGCTCAGAAGACACATGGACCTGCTAAGGGAAAGATACAAAAGTTGTCTGTAAGGAAGCCAACAAGACCTTTTGTGCCACCTGGGCCTACAACTAGGTTAAGTGCTGCCAAGAATGTTGTTGGCCCAGTAACAAGGAGGTCTACTCCAACAAAGAGGACCACGCCAAAGAAGAAACTTTAGTTGTGGAACATGTGTGTCAGTTGTGTTAAAAGCATAACCTATTTTGTGGAACATGTGTGGAATGTATTACAAGTTTATGTATTCTGCTGTTGTTGTGGAACATGTGTATCAATTGTGTTAAAAGCATAACCTACTTTGTGGAATGTATTACAAGTTTATGTATCCTGCTGCTGTTGTTGTTTATGTATCCTGATGTCATGAACTTTATGTTAAAAGCATAACCAACTTATAGGTATTATGAAATGAACCTAAAATAAGAATCTGTCATGAACTTTATATTACTACGATCATGTCTAATGTGGTGTAAAAATGCAGACAAAATTAATAGACCAAATTAACATACCAACTTTGACAGGTCTATAACAGACCAAGTAAACATAAAAACATAACATACCAAATATATCATTGACAGACCAAATTAACATAATCTTTAACTGTTGGTTATGCTTTGACAGCCCAAATTAAAAACACTTTGACATGATATTTATCAATGCATACCAAGTTAACATTATCTTTAACTGTTATATTCATGTGGAACTAATACAATCTAAAACTAAAATTGATACATTCATGTTGAACTGCAAAAAGTGAAATTAACTAAACTGGTACAGGATTAGAATCCATATATTAGAATCCAACCATTACATTCATGTTGAAGTGATACAATCCAAAACTGATACAAACTTTAACTGAACTTAAACCTAATTCTTACAACCAAAACATAACTTAATTCTTACAAACAAACCATAACATACTACTTTCAAACAAACCTTAATACCCTAACTACTCCTAACAACTAATACAATGATAATCATCACAAACATCAAATTCAAAATCTTTTTCCATTTCATGATATTCTTCATTTCACTTTCAAGTTTCATCAGCTTTTTCCCTAATTCTTCATTCTCCATTGTCATTTTTCAATGTCCTTTTTTGTTTCAGCAAGTCCCTTAGTTACCACACTCAACCTATACATCCAAA